GTGGAGCTTTGCTTATTTGCTTAAGCCATCCACCATCCAGTTATTAGATCTGAATTCATCTTTTAGGGTCAGCTTTGTTGTAGATTTGGGGTGTGGCCCCAGGGCAAGGGACTCTGAGAAACCCTTACTCTATCCCAGATGTCATCTATCATGTCCAACTGGGGTCGGGAGAGGTGTGTGTGTGTGTGTGTGTGCATATGTGCATATGTGCATATGCCCTTGGGAACCCAGAGACTTGACTCTCTCTAACTGGAATTGTGAGCAGTGAGTGAGCCAACCATGCTCTTCCTTTATGAGTTGCCTCTCCAGCCCAAACCCCACATTGTTCTAAGACTGGGTCTCTTACTAGAACTGAGAGACTGGCTGTCCAGGGAACCCCAGTGATCCTCCTGTCTCCCCCACTCTGGAGCTCTGGAGCTCAGCTTTGATGTGGCTGCTGAGAATTGAACTTGGGTCCTCAGGCTTGTGCTGCAAACCCAGTGAGCCATCTCCCCAGGCCCTGGAAAGGCTGCCCTTGTTCGTACTAGATCATTTGTTTAGAAGGCTCTCCATGAAGGCCCAGGCTCAGTTTCTGCTCCCAGGAGAAAGTCCTGCTCTCAAGTCAGCCCAAACCCTTGGTGTACCTTGTCCAGTTTTGTGCAGTGCTTAGTAGGGCCAGAGAGCTCATCTGGTGGCCAGGGCAGAACTCTGTCCCTGGCTGCATCTGGGCTTCAAGGAATGTGAGACTGTGTTGTTAGTTATTGAAGTAACAACAGTCACTCTCAGGCTTGCCCTCTTGTCCACCTCCAAGAGTGGTGCTCCCTCCCACTTTTTGTTCTGTTTCTTTTTTTTTTTTTCCTGAGTTTTTTGTATGGTTGGTTGGTTGGGTTTTTTTGTTGTTTTGTTTTGTTTTGTTGTTTTTTGTTTTTGTTTTGGCTTTTTGGTTTTGGGGGTTTTATTTTTTGTTTGGGGGGTTTTGTTTGTTTGTTTGTTTTTGTGTTTTTGAGATGGGGTCACAAATGTAGCCTGGCTCTTTCACTGTATAGCTATAATGGCCTAGATGGCCTTGACCCACCTACCTCTGCTTTCTGAGTACTGGGATTAAAGGTGTGTGTCATATCACCTAGCAGGCTCCATCCTTTTCTCAGACCCTGACCCTGGAGTCTGCACTCCTTGTCTGGCCCTCAGAATTTCACTAAAGCAGGCCCTCAATAGGGTGAACCTCTGTGTCCAAGAGTTTCTGGAGCTGTGGTCCTGGCTGACCTGGGCCTGTTCCTCAACTGTCCCTAAGGCATCACACTCTTGGCCCAGGGTCTTCCTCTGGGCCCTGTGCAAACATCCATGGGCCCTTCTCTGCCCACTCCACCGTACAGTTGGAAGGAGCTCATCCCCTCTACTCCAGGCCCCAGCCTTGGTGTAGCCGGGCTTGCATGCTCCTGTGTACAGCCCTAGCCTGCTTCCTTCAGCCCTCTCTGGCCCAGAGAGGCTTTCCCGCACTTCTAACCACCTGCCTTCTTGACCTTGGAAATCCCTGCTCCCACCCTCTCTCAGGCTGTAAATGGACCCATTGCCAGAGCTTCAGATGCTACCCTGCTCTCCCCTCCTCATACAGAGGGAGCCTGAGTATGTGCTGTACTGAGCAAACTCTGGGCCTTCATTGTAGTCTCCCTGGCCTGGCCTGAGCCTCTGTCTTCCCCTCCCATACAGAGCAGAGCCTAGTAGAGCGTGGAGGGGTAGAGGGGGCATAATATGGTAATGGAGACCCTGTTAATTGCTTCCAAATGGCCAATTGTAGCCGTTTGACTAATTGGTCTCTTCCAGCCCCACCTCCCCGCCTGGACACCCCCAGACCTGGCCAAAGCCTGCTTAACACTGCTCCCAGGGCCTCTGCTCCGGAAGTTCCCTCCTCTGTTCTCTCTGGTTCTTGGGCCTGGGCCCACCTCCAGCCCCTACACCTACAGAGAAACTTGGGAGAGGAGAGGCAGGGAAGAGTGCCCTGTGATGTCCCCAACTTTTGGCCCCAAATGCATTCTTTACTCCACCACCAAAAACAGGGGAAATAGACCCAGCCTGCTTGCTGGGTGCTGACCTGAGGCCTGAAATCCTAAAAGCAGCCCATCTTCGAGCCCTACCAAGCTCAGAGAGATGAGCTAAGTGGCTCTGGAGCACACAGCTGGGAGACGGGGGCAATCTGCTGAAGTCACCTGCCACCTAGAGGCATCTGCCCTTTGTCCTCAGAAGGCTGGGGCTGACTTAAGCATCCTTCAGTTGAGTCCCTAGGTCTTTGCCTCTGGTACCCTAAAGCCCAGGCTCCAGTTCAGTGGAGCCTTTCCTGCATGTTGTGGGGACCAGCCAGACACCTTCCAAAAGTGCAGTGGGGCAACATGGGAGATGAGGAAGGATCACACTTGGGTGCAGATGGACGTTTTCAGCCAACCCAGGACCATGAACGGCAATGGTGTGTCTTCACACATAGTACAGACAGGTTCTAAGCCTCACCCATACCCACATGAGGCAGAGTGGACTCTCCCGAAGTTTGGTGGCTACAACCTGTGGGCTCTTCATCCCCCGTGTCCCAGGAGCTCTGAGTAGGGAAGAATACTGCTGCCCCTGTGGGACCTGAGCCTACATGTGCCCAAGAACAGTAGGAGGTGCTGGATACTGAGTGGATCCCTTCCCCAACATGCTTGAGAACCTTGGGGTAGGTTCTGCTCCAGATGTAGAAACAGCAATTCTGGCAATAGGTTAGGAGGAGAGTCTTATTCCGCACCCCCAAAGTGACACACTTCCTCCAACAAGGCCACAGCTCCTAATAGTGCCTTTCCCTGGGCAAGCATGTTCATCCACCACAGTGCGCGTGTGTTAAAGCTTATTTATTTTTATGTGCATGAGAATCTCTTGTCTGCGTGTAGGTATTTGTATCAGATATGTGCCTGGTTTCCTCCTAGGCCAGAAGATGGGTGTCAGATCTCCTAGAACTGGCGTTACAGACGTTTGAGAGCCACCATGTGGGTGCTGGGAACTGAACCCATGTCCCCTGCATGAATGGCCAGTGCTTTTAACCAGTGAGCCATCTTGCCAGTCCCTTTCTTAGATTTGTTTGTTTTTAAGACAGGGTCTCAAGGCTGAGGCTGGCTTCAGATCTACTTTGTGGTTGGTTACAGCTAACCTTGACCCCAGGATTCTGCCTCCACATCTCCAGTGCTGACATGAAAGCCTGTTCTACACACCTGGCTCCTACACTTCTCTTGGACAGGCACAGCTGGATCCAGATGCTATGGTAGAGGCATTCAGGGAGGAGATAGCCTCTTGATTCTCCTGTGTCATCTTAGGAGCTTAGGCTGCCAGCCCACGCTGGTCATCAAGACACAGGGCTGCTCCCTGTAAAGCAGGTTCCATCAATGGCTCCAGGGCTTTAGAAGTTCAATGGCTTAGTTTTCAGACTGCGTAAGGGTCCTCAGGGGCTAGTGTGGGGCAGAGACCCTGCAGACCCTGGCCAGGACAGAGGCCCTGGGAGACAGCTGAGGGTGCTCAGCTGTGGGGACATCTGTATTCAGCATGCTGGAGACTGTTCACTGAGGACCTGCTGCCCTAAATGAGGTCTCTGGGTGGAAAAAATGTCCCAGTGTGTGCTATTAACAGCTTCTGTAGCGTGGAGGTACCTCCACCCCCACCCCAACACTTCTCAGGATCTCACATCAACAAGAGCTTCCCACCAGACTCCTCCCAAGAGCTCGGGACCAACTTAGGAACCAATGCTGTGACCCAAGCCAATGGGCCCTCAGGCACGACTGAGGGTAGTTGCTGGCCAGGGGGCCGTTGGAGGCATAGGCCAAGGATGTGGGGTGGGACCTTTTCTGATACCTCTGGAAGTCCTTCTTCTTTGAGGCCCTTGGCAGACAAGGAACTGAAGTCAAGAGCTCAGGGTCCAGGAAGCTATTCCCTGAACCTAGACTCCTCCTCAGCCTGCCAGGTGGGCATGCTGGAGCCTCCGTGGGATCTTCTCTCCCTTCTGTTCTGTTACTCTCTGTATCTCCACATTTTCCCCCCTCCCACTGCTCTTTTCCTTCTTTCTCTTCTACCAGATCTGTCACCTGCCTCTCCCACCCCTATTTCTGTCTCTGCCTAGATCTCCTGGGCTCTAAGACTCTGTGACTCTATTGTCTCTGCTCCTATCTGTGAAGTCCCCTGTCTGGACCACCGTTGGGACAGACCATTCCCACTCAAGGTGTGCAAACTTCCCTTGGTGCCGTCTGGTCAATTAGGTAGCTTCGAGACATAAGAGTCCCAGGGCCATTGGGCCACAAGACTGTACGCCTGAGGACCGCTCTGTGGTGTGAGAAACGACCTGCACGGACCCAACCCCGGGCTCCCCACGCACCGCCCGCCCTCCGCAATCGCTCTCGATTAGGCGCCGCCTTTCATGAGCGTTTGTCAGCTAGACTTCCCGCAAGTTGTTTGCGCAGACATCAGTCATCCGCAGTCCCATTGTGCACCCAGGATTGATGTAAGGCGGGAGGGGGTGACAGGGCCTGGGGGCGGTTGCCTTTAGGCCTCGCTCTATAATTTTCAGAGGCATAATTGGTCTGGGGGCGGGGGCGGGGCGGGGACCTTTCAGAGGCGGGAGGGGGCGCAGGGCGCACAGCGGAGGAACGGCGGCCCGACGGCGCTGGCCGAGGCGCTGTGCGCAGGCGACGCCCGGCCTGAGTCCCGCGCCCCGCCAGGGACCACGGCCGCCTTTTGTTGCCAAGAGCCCTTTCTTCAGAACTGTGTTCGGCAAAGAAACATGACTCCCATTCCTGGGTGAAAATTCAAAGTCTTCTCGCTCTATCTCCCTCTCCTCTTTCTTCTCTCCATCTATCTCTCCCTCTCCCTCTCCCTCTCCCTCTCCACCCGTCCCTTTCTCCATCTCCACCTCTCTCCATCTCTCCCTGTCTCCCCTCCTCTTTCTCCCTCCCCTGTCCTCCACCTCTTCCCGGTCCCCCTCTTCCTCCCTTCCCCTTCTAGCCACAGTTGAGCCGGCCTGGCGCGCGGGCGTGTACTCCCAGCGCCGCGCCTTCGTGAGCCCCGGGCTGGCGCAGCCGCCGCTGCAGGCGGGCGCGATGCCGGGATGGGCCTGATCTGGCTTCTGCTGCTCAGCTTGCTGGAACCCGGCTGGCCAGCTACGGGGCCTGGGACGCGACTGCGACGCGATGCGGGCGGCCGTGGCGGCGTTTACGAGCACCTCGGCGGGGCGCCCCGGCGCCGCAAGCTCTACTGCGCTACCAAGTACCACCTCCAGCTGCACCCGAGCGGCCGCGTGAACGGCAGCCTTGAGAACAGCGCCTATAGTGAGTGTTCAGTTAGGGACACGGAGGGAAGGGTGGCAGAAGGGACCGGAGGGCTCGGCCCCTTGTCGCCACGTCCCGGGTGGGAACAGAGCTGAGGTCGGTCCGAAGACGACGACGCGGTCCTAGCTACCGATCTCAGCGAGCTGCCCCGCCCGTCTCGCTCCCCCAGGAGCTGCGCGGGAGGCGACCCCGGTTCTGACACGTTTGTATTTCTCAGTGAAAAGCCGTTGGACAAGGATTTATCGCCCTCTTTATTGTTTTGACGACCCCGGGGCGCATGGCCAGTCCCTTTCGTCCTTGCTCTCAGCCGATGCGATGCGCTGAAGACACTCCACTAGGCAGAGCTCGGTTTCTGCAACGCGGCGTCTGGCGACAAGCTCGTCCCTCGTCCTGCGCCCTGCAAGAGAGCGCGACAGGACAGACAGGCGTCCCCGCGTGTTCCGGATGCAGCTGGCACGCACCCACGGCCCGCAGTTCGATCATACCCAGGGCCAGTTCCCGAGCTTTGCAGGGTTTGACTTCGTGGGTTCCGTACACGCGAGCGGAGCTCTACAAGGAGCGTTGCGCGCCGCGTGGGAGGGAAGCCGCGCAGAGCTCACCTCGCCCGGGGCGCAGGAAGCCGAGCTGGGGGCGCGGGCGGCAGAGGGAACCGCAGCTTCCTCCTGAAAAGCCGCAGCTCCGCGGGGGCGTCCTGGGGACCGGCCCCTATCGGACCTGGAGCGCGGGGCTCCTCATGCGCACCCCTCGCCAGTTGCCCGGTCCCGGGAGGCCCCAGATGTAGAGGAAGGGCACCTTCGCTGCCACCCCTAGGGGCACTCAGTGAGGTCTCGTCTGGCACCAGCTCTAGAGGCCTCACCCTGCTCACCTTCAAACCTTGGCTAGGACAAAATCCCAACTGGTCCCAGTAATCTAGACCATGCTGGGTCCCAGCGGGCGCTCCCTGGAAAGGGAGTGAATCCTCTATCCCGGGGGTCTTCGACCTCTGCTCCCCTCCCAAGAGCAAGGCGCTGGTAGAAGTTTGGTCGGTTTTGTATTTGTTTTGTGTGCCACCGTGTGTGTGTGTGTGTGTGTGTGTGTGTGTGTGTGTGTGTGTGTGTAGGTCATTGAGTGAGTTCTTTACTTCCATCATGTGGGTCCCTGGATCAAACTCTGGTGGTCAGTGTTGGCAGCTACTCTGCCATCTGCTCTGAGAGATCGTTAACTTTTGTACCTACTCTTGGGCCTGGGTGAACCCTGAGACCTTTCCTCGGCACCCAGGCCCTTCTGTGGCAGGTTACCGTTCAGCACCCATCTTTTGGATCCCTTGCTGCCAGTGAGGATGGCACTATGACTGGGCTGCAAGCCCTGGCTTCCCTAAGAGTCTCGGTCACCTCCCCTTCTGGGTCTTCATCTGCCCTGGAGTCTGGACCCCCAAACCATTATGTATGGCCTTGGGCAAGTTATGTGTGCTAGGCTTCTGTTTGCTAGACCAAGTTGTTCACAAGATTGCACCAAATACAGACTGGGTCGATCTGCCCAGGTTGCACTCAAGGTGCATGGTAGGGGCAGAACATTGCCATCATGTCTTCTCAGGTTAGGACTAATGTCTTGGACACAGTGGCTGGATGCCCCCTTCCTCACCACCTGCCCAATGTTTTCTTCCTACCAGGACTTCCAACCCCCACCTCCACCTTCTGGTTATGGCTGCCCACCTGTCCCAGCTTCCTTAGCCTGGGGGGTGGGGAGGCTTGCTCGGACTGAGGTTCTGCTTAGGTAGAGAAGTTGATGGACCCTTCCTGACTCTTTCCAGGCATCCTGGAGATTACTGCTGTGGAAGTGGGCGTGGTGGCCATCAAAGGGCTCTTTTCTGGGCGTTACCTGGCCATGAACAAGAGAGGACGGCTGTATGCTTCGGTGAGTTCCATCACTAGTGGGCAGGTGCTGATGGAATAGCCATCTGGCTTGAACATCTGACTGGGGAACATTGAGGACATGAGCGATAGAATTCTTGGCCCCAGGTCATGCCAGACTCAAGCTTGTCCAGATCCCTCCTGGGCTTCTGAGTGCCTGCCCAACACAGACCTTAGGTGCTCAGGAAAATGCTCTTCCTACCTGTCTGAAGTTGGTCCCTAAAAGTCACAGTGGTGGAGATAGGAAGAGAGCATGGCAGCAGGGTCCCAGACCTCCATGGAGTGAGTAGCCATGATAGCTGCAGTTGAGGGAGAGCAGTCAGGGCAAACCTGCCCTGCGTCTATGGAAGGAGCAAGGTTGGTGCTTGGCCTGTTCTCAGGGTGGGAAGGCAACGCTGTCTGGCTTAGCAGGGGACTAAAGGGCTGAAGGAATGGCTGCCAGTCTGGTACTGGCTGCAGAGCATGAGAACCTAAGGTTCTGTAGCTCCATGGGTCTCCAGCAGCCATTTATCAAAGACAGGCCAAAGTGTTGTCATCCCAGAGCAGGGGGAGACAGGATGGTCTTCAGGGTTCCCCAGCCAACCTAGCTGAATTGGGCTCCACGCTCGTGGACAAGGAGCAGGAGGAGCTCAGGTGTCTCCACACTCCTGAGGTGTGATGGAAACACTCTTGTCTGAGTGCTGCAGAGCTGGGCTGGTGATTTCTCTGCCTCTTAGACTCTGGGTCCTGTCCCCCTCTAGTGAATGGGCTCAGCTGACTTTACAATGAACCTGACCCTCCCCCAGAAACTCTGCTTTAGGGTAAGGTTTCAGGTGTCCTCAATGACAGATCAGATCTTCCTGCCCACAGGGAAAAATATGAGGGGGGCATGCCTGTACTCTCCTGGCTTCAAGGGAGCAGGGGATGATGAGGTCAGGGATCCAGCTTGTTAGAGTAGAACTTTCCAGATAACCCATCTGGGATGGCCCACAGACTTGCTGACAGACTCCAGCTTCTTTCAGCTGCCTGCTGGTATCTAAGGGCTCTTCCTGCTGTCCCTGGGTGTCCTGGGTGCATAGCGTGGCTGCCTATGTGCTGTATCCGTGGGCCAGTGACACTCCACAGTCAATCCCCACCTCCTGGAAGTTGTAGACCACAGCTGCCCACAACTCCCTCTACTCTAAGAGCAGGCTGAGTGAAGTCAGCGCATCCCCCATTCCTGCCTCCATAATGGTCCAGCTGAGAGTTGACCAAGAGCCATGATGGCCCTCCTCCTCTCTTAGCCTCACAGTCAGTCCACCTCCAAGTCCATGTGCGCTCCTTGACTTGGCTGGCAACCTCTCTGCCTTCCAGCCTGTCCATTCATTGTCTATCATCCATCCATCTATCTATCCATCCATTCAGCCAGCCATCTATCTGCCCACCTACACACTCAGTCATCTACCCACACCTCCATCTATATGCTCGTTCTTATATTCCAAACATTCACCCACCTATGGACCATCTTTACACCCAATTATCTAACCACCTATACATTCATTTGTCCATCCACCTACAGTCACTGATCCACCCAGCAACATACCTAGCTTCCCACCCACTCATCTATCTACCCATCCATCCATCACCCACCTATCACATCCATCCACCTGTCCAGCTCACCAACACACCCATTCATCCACCCTCTGACACACCAGCCAGCCAGCCTCCTCCAGCATGCTCTGTCTACCACACACCAAGCACTGAGCCAAGTACAAGGCTACAGCAAAAAGGGAGAGTAGACGGAAGTCAGGAGCAGGGCACAGTTGTGGAAAGGTAGGATAGCCAGGCTGCCTAGACAGTGGCAGGTGTGGACAGCTGGTCCAGGCAGCCTCAGGAGAGAGGGAGGCATTGGGGAGGCATTGACATCATGGCCTCCAAGGCCGTTGACTGTGGCTTCTCTCCCACAGGAGCACTACAATGCAGAGTGTGAGTTTGTGGAACGGATTCACGAGCTGGGCTACAATACGTATGCTTCCCGCCTGTACCGCACAGGGCCCAGTGGGCCAGGGGCTCGCCGGCAGCCTGGTGCCCAAAGACCTTGGTATGTGTCGGTGAATGGCAAGGGTCGGCCACGCAGGGGCTTCAAGACCCGCCGCACACAGAAGTCCTCTCTTTTCCTGCCCCGAGTACTGGGCCACAAGGACCATGAGATGGTGCGGCTGCTGCAGAGTGGCCAGCCACGAGTCCCAGGAGAGGGCAGCCAGCCTAGGCAGCGGAGGCAGAAGAAGCAGAGCCCAGGTGATCATGGCAAGATGGAGCCTTTGTCTACCAGGGCCACTCCAAGCACCCAACTGCATACAGGTGGACTGGCTGTGGCCTGAGTGGCCACCTGGAAAGCCCTCTGAGACCAAGCCCAGCAGGCACCCATAATCCACTTGGAGCTCTGGCCTCCCCACCCTTGTCTCTGGGCTGGCTGCTTGGGGACCAAGAACTTGAATGCCTTTTGTGGCTTTCAAAGAGCAAGTGCCAGCTGCTAAGGGGCTTGAGTCATAGACTCTGGAAGACTCGAAGTTCAAGATGTATGTGGAGTGGCATGAGAGGGAATTCTTGTTACAGGGGTCATCCTAACCCCAGGTGGCGCCCAGCCAATGGCAGACAGTCCTGGCAACCTGAGACAGTAGACAGTGGAGGGGGCTGTGATTCAAACATTAAAGGTGTCTTTCTGTCTTGCTATTTAACAGCTAGGATACAGGCTTAGGATGCCCTGAGGCTCCAACTGAGATATTCTGTGGAGGGTGAGGAAGGCAGTGATCTTCACTGCAAGGTGTCAGGCAGGCTGTAACCTGAGAAAGGGTTGAGCTGCATGCATGTGTCAGTGAGTTCTTGTGTCTGCAAATACCCACAATCATGTGTGTGTAGAAGGGTGTTGGTATATTCCTGAGAGGATGTGTGGGGGGGCATGCACACAAACTGACCCTGGTCTTTTCACTTCCAAGCCTCTGTGTGTGTGTGTGTGTGTGTGTGTGTGTGTAAAGTGTATATAGGTATATAGTCTGTGTGGATCCAGAGAAGAAAAGAGGTTTGTTCTGGTTTAGGATGCTCTCCCTCCCTGTGTTAATTTCCTCATTGATGTGAGTGAACACCTGACAAGAAGCATTTCAAAGGAGAAGGGGTTTACTTTTGCTCACAGTCTGAAGGGACACAGTCCCTTGTGGAGAGGGGAAAGCAGGATGATGAGGAAGGATTGAGGCTGTGGTGGCAGAGCCTGCTCACGTCTCCACAAGCCAGGAAGCAGAGAGGGGACAGCTGGGGCTCAGCAGAGTGAGGTGAGTATGGTGCCTAGCTCTTTCTCCTTTCAGGCTCATGGTGGGGATACCATGGCAACAGGGCCTGAGGCAGCTGGTCACATTGCGTCCACAGTCAGGGGGCAGAGAGAGATGAGCACTGGTGCTAGCTCACTGTCTCCTTTTTACTCAGTCTGGGGTCCCAGTCCATGAATGCCCCCCACATTTTGGGCGGATCTTCCCTCAGTTAACCTGTTCTGAACACACCCTCACAGACAAGCACAGAGGTGTGTCTCCCAGGTGATTCCAAACCCAGTCAGGCTGACCATGGAGATGAAACATGCCACCCTGGAAGCTATGTGTTTCTCTGGGAACTGTTTTTTTCAGGTGAAGTACTTCAAGCAGAGGTCCTTTTCTTCCTTTGTTCTTACTACCCACCTCCAGGGCTCCAGGCTTGCCTCCCAAGACAGGCCCAGCTTCCTCTGCATCTTTGTGATGAGAACCTTGGCATAGATCTGCCCTCAGCCTCAGGATAGGTAGATGTAGCCCCAGTCCCTCAGCAGGTCCCAGACCCCAGAATTGTTCCCTGAGGAACTGGCATCCAAGGTGACAGTGATGACAGGACTTATGTTCCTCAGAATGAGCCAAGCACCTCAGCAGCTCCTGGGGAGGAATGAGGGACTGCGTAGTGTCTGTTGGCTAATGTTTAAAACTGGCCCAACAGGAGTCTGGGCCACTTTGGCAGCTGCCCATGGTCCAGGGGGTGTGTCCCTTGCCCTTGGTCAGAGGCCAATGGCCTCACACTGGGCCCGGGTTAGGAAGGGGGCAGGAACACATTCATGTCCTGCTTAGTTCATATTGACCATTTGACCTCGGTTGACACAACACAACCTTTTCTAAAAGGAGTTGCGTGAGTGACTTACAGTAGGCCATGCAAGCTCAGGGACCATTAGTGTCCTTACGAAGAGATTTGGCTATAGGCCAGGACACACACACACACACACACACACACACACACACACACACACATGAGACCCACGGGGAAGGCACACAAAGACATTCAGAGAAGTGAGATTCCACCCATGTGGACCTGGGGGCGGGGGTAAGTCAGGGTGAAACTTCCACAGCTAAGTGGCTGGAGGCTGCCAGAGTCCCAGAAGCTCAGAAGGCATGGCAAGTGAGCTTTGAAAAACTTTGCTCACCGCCTTGACCTTGGACTTCTGGCCTTCAGCTTGTGACAATACATTTCTGCTGTTTAAGGCACCATCTGGTTGGTGATATTTTGTTTTGGTTTTTTGCTGTTATTTGTGGTGTGAGTGTGTGTGTGTGTTGCAGTGCTAGAGGTGGGATCTGAGGTCTAGAACACGCCACACAGGCCACTGAACCACACCCCAATGCAGCTGTGACAATCTTTTCAGCTTCCCGGGCACCATAGTACCAGGCTTTGGGTAGACCCTAAAAAGAAGGCAAATCCATAATGCAGAGAGGAGGACAGATCAGCTCCCAGGCTCAAAGTTACCCAAGCCTCTGGGGGGTCAGAGGCCTCAGCCTAGGGGTAGAATGGGCATGTGAGGAAGCAATGCTACCTTCCACACAAAGGGCACTGGAGTAGTTAGAGAAGGTTCCTCAGATGAAGAGTGGTGAGGGGTCTGGGATGTGGGAACCTGAGTGTGTGTGGGGGGAATGGGGGCATAAGAACAGCCCAGGCTCTATGAGTAAAGCCTTCATGGAGATCTTCCCAGAGGGGTCAGGGGTGAACATTTAAAGTGCAGCTGTCGTGAGGACTAGGATGGCAGTTCTGAGAAGATAAAGCTGGACCCAGGATAACCATAGCAACCTTGACAGGAGTATCCCATAATCTAGTGAACGCAGGATTCCAGGTCAAGTGCACAGACACACCTGGACTCTCTGCAGGGCTCCTAGGGGATGGGACCAGAGTTCTCATCCCCATCCCAACAGATAAAATGGAGCCAGACACATAGCGAATACTACTCTACCTGGAAAGGGGGGAATTCTGGAAGAGGGTTTGATGCTGAGTGACATAAACAGGTCCCAGATCACATGTGTAGGATGTCAGATCTACAGAGACAAGGGGGATAAAGCTGCCAAGAGTCAGGAGAGGTGAGGAATGTGTGGTGGAGTCAGAGCTTCCATCTTGGGAGAGGAGAAGTTCTGCAGATAGATGCAGGGATGGCTAAATGTCACTGTCCACCAGAGGCCCGGCAGGTGGACACCTGGAGTGCTCTGACACAGGGCTGTGGTTGGCTGCAGCATCCCTTCCAGAAGTGTCTGGGTGGCACTGATGAGCAGGCTGGGATGTAGTTCAATGCAGAATGTTTGCCTATCAAGCTGAAAATGCTGGGTTCCATCCTCAGCATCACATAAACTGGGTGTGGTGGTACACAACTGAGAGCCTAACACTCAGGAGGTGGAGGCAGGAGGATCAGAAGTTCAAGGTAATCCTCAGCTATATAAGTGAGTCTGAAGTCAGCCTGGGCTCAGTGAGACCCCCCAAAAAATGAAGAGAGGGGAGGAGGTGGGGAGATAGCTCGGTGAGTAAAGTGTTTGTTGTACAAGGTTAAGGACCTGAGTTCGAATCTCCAATACCCATTTGAAAGGATAGCACTGTGGTGTCCTCCTGCAACCCCAGTCCTGTGATGAGGACCTCCAGGCTGCCTAGCCTGGCTCAGTCAGTGAACTCTAGGTTCAAAGAAAACCTGTCTTAAAAATTAAAATGGATCTCAGCACTCAGAAGGCAGAGGCAGCAGCATCTCTGTCAGTTGTGGGTTCAAGGTTATCCTGGCCTACATATAGTATTCCAGACCTTCCAGGGCTTTGTAGAGAAAACCTATCCTAACTTTTTAAAAAATTTAAGATGATAGAGGAAGATACTGGATACCACAGGCCTCCATGTGCACACGCACAGACAAGATACTCACACACATGTAAATGCATACACACACACAGGAACAAAGAAAAATGGAGGGAGGGAGGAGAAAGAGGAAGGAAGGAAGGAAGGAAGGAAGGAAGGAAGGAAGGAAGGAAGGAAAACCAGAATACTTCAGCCTCTCCAAGATGGGCACCAGCACCCCTTTGGCCACTGCCCTTTCACCCTATGACCCCTGACCCTTGCTCACCTTCACCACTCCAGCCATAACATTTGATCCCAAGCTCCTTTGCACGTGCCAAGGGCACTCTTCCCTCTGCTTGTACCCAAATTCCCCCTTTCTCAATATTCACTTCTGAGCATCTTTCCATGATCACTCCCGCCCTAGGATCTTTCCCATAGTACCTTGCAACTTTCCTTCTCTAATTATTCACTTGTGGCCATCCTTTGCCAATCACCCACTAAGGGGAAGGCACTGGGCTGTTTAATTACTGAGTCCCTGGAACTTTCAGTCTGTGGCTCCAAGCCTGGAGATTGTGGTATGATCAAAACACTTGCTCATAAATAGTGAAGGTGGAGTAGACTAGGCTGCTGCTTTCTGTCACTAGAGGCCTTTTACAGGTGAGAAAACATGCTCAGAGAGGGATATGTGGTTTTCCTGAGGCCACACAGCCAGTGAAGGACCTACTGGGCAAGATCTGGGGACTCTAAAGCCTGTCCTGCCACCTGCATGGTGCCAGGAGGGACACAAGGGAGTGGAGCCTAGTGGCAAGAGCCTGTGGCTCTTAAAACCCCAGAGCTGAGCTGGATGTGGTGGTATACACTCTCCATCCCAATGCTTGGGTGAAAGGCAGAGACAGGAAGATCTTTGGCTGGTCTACATAGTGATGTTCAGGATAGCTGGGACTATGTAGAAAGATCCTGTCTGAAGAACAAAACAGGAAAGGAAAACAAACAAATAAACAAACAAACATGAGCTACATGGGACTCTGAGGTCACCCCAGAACTGTGCCAGGAGACAAGACAGAGGTCTACACAGCCACCAATGAGAGTCCCAGCAGGTCCACAATGGGGAGCCAGGAGACTGTAAGTAGGTGAGGCCCTTTCCAGGTAAACAAAATGTTCTAGAAAGGACATCAGTGACAGCGCAGCATGCTCAATATTAATTCATCAAGGTCACCCCTCAGACAAGGGGACTGTCCAGGTCGTTTTGATGGGGACCTGATGCTGGGACTCAAGCCCAGGCTGGTCTGAAACTTTTGACCATCCTCCTGCCTCCAACTCCAGAGTATCGGAATGTTAGGGGTGAACCCTCATGCCTGGCTGAGTTGAGTGTTTCCCAAGTTGCATCTGGATAGTTGTAATTGTAGGGGCTCCCTGTCTCCCGGTGACAGTCCTGTGAGTTAGGACCACCCCATACAGTACTATTACCTGCCAGCAGGTGGCAGTGGTCTCAGGGATGAGTTCAGGTGTGGAGCAGGTTGGGGGGGGTCCACTATTTCCAGGCGAGGACTCTGGTGGGGGTCTCTGCAGGTGATGGCTATCTGGGTGAGTCATGGTTGGCCACCT